AGATTCTAAATAGTTTTTTTGGATAGTTGGTTTTGGACCCAATAAAACAAAAAATAGAGCATTTTGTACCAAGTTGTCAAGAGAGTGACCAATGCTAATTGTACACTGTCAATTTAAACTATAATTTCAGCACAAGGGTTGAGTGTCTCAGTGATTTGTGCACATTTCAAGACCAAAGAGATTTTACATGAGGGGGCTTGTTTCAGATTTTAATAAAAACCATTATTTGGCCTTTTCCTAATAACTTAAGATTTTGGAATAGAGGCGATTGGTTGACATATAGTGTCAACTCAAGTACAGAATTCATACTTTGCATATGTGAAACTTATATTCTTCCCCCTTCAACTTTGGCATTGAGACAGTATCAAGTAACATTTTCCACTGACCGACACATTGTTTTTGATCATATCTTTATTTCTACTAATTTGACAATTTTCTTTTTCAACCTTTATTTTTTGGAGTGTCAGCATAATCTACTTGTTTGCACGAAACTATTTGGACCACAAATCACATATTGAACAACATATCTATGATTAAACATTACGCATGCTATTATTTCTATTCTTATTTTTAGGGTTTGTACTTCATTAACAAATCTCTGTTTTCTGATTCCATAGTTTGACAGTCTCACAATTCTGTGCAGTACTATTTGAAAGCTGTTTTTGGTTTTAACAAAAATCAGTTCTCACAACTTCTGATGATGGTGGGAATTGGTTCAATCTTTTCTCAGGTATAATTTTCCCCAAAGAAATTTTCTTCCTTTAATTCCTCCATACTTAAAATTAAACGAAAAAGAGTGCATAACAGAATTGTAAGCTTTTTCATTCTAATTATAAGCTTTCCCATTTAATTCAGAAATCTGTGTACTTTTGTGTGATAAATATTCCGCTTTGTCTAAAATTGTTTCTAACTCGGTGATATTCATTGAGGCCTATGTGAGTGTTTGAGAAGTTGATTATGCATGAGTTATCTTTTGAAGAACTTAATCTCAGTTGGCTTCCAGATGTTGTTGCTTCCAATACTCAATCCATTGGTCGGAGAGAAAGTTATACTCTGCTCTGCCTTGCTTGCATCAATAGCATATGTAAGTTATCTTGTACATTCCTTCACTTTTCCTTTGCTTCCTGAAAGCAAACCTGCTTTTACCATTATGTTAATATTTTATTTATGTGTAGGCTTGGCTATATGGATTAGCATGGGCACCTTGGGTACGTAAAATTGATAACTTTCTATATGTTGTTTCAATTTCACTGTTTATTTTATAACTCTTGTCCTTCAGCTTTATCACCTATATAAGCTTTTCAAATAACTTGAATAAAAAATTATGCAGGGAGTATGTAATTTTGTTACCATACTTTGTGTCATTGTTGCAATATCATACAAATTTACACTACATTTCCGTATGGTTAGTTATAGTAATTGAATTTAATTCACGAATGCAGGTACCATACTTAAGTGCCTCTTTTGGCGTCATCTATGTCCTTGTGAAACCTTCTGTGAGTAGTACATCTATTTTCCTCATTTGTGGTAAAATTATTCCCTAATTTTATAGTTACAGTCAACTTTATGATCCTGATATATCTATTAATTTCTTCTTGTGCAGACTTACGCTATTATTTCAAATGCATCGGGCTCAACCAATCAGGTTTGCTCTCTCTTTTATGTATCCAATAAGTATTTGAATGTTCATCAAAAAGCTACACAGTCAAGCATTAAATCGATTCACAAAACATTACACAAAATGTTGAGAAGATGCTGTACAAAACAGCATTATCCCTCACTTACAAACAACTAACGAAGAATCTTCTCACTAGTATGTCATCTCCAGCAAAATTCTCTATCAACACTATTGGATTTAAAATTAGAAACAGCCATAAGCTTGTTTTAACGAATAGTGGAAATATTCTCATCTTCAGTTAGAAGGGCAGCATTGTAGCATCAACAATTCCTTTTTAGGCAAATGTTATTGGTCAACGTTTTCCAAGTCAGAAGCAACTCTGAAGAACAATAGTAATCTCATCACATAACATGTTTACAAACATATGCTCTTTGAAGACACGATTTTCCTACAATCTATTATAAACACTGCAGTCAAAGTAAAGAATGACAATCATCAACAAAGATTACAAATAAAAAATAAAAAAGTTATGGATTATATTGTTTACCTACAAGGTAGTTTTAATTTATTAAAATTTACATCATGTCCTGTTTTGACTGGTATATATAGACTAATAAAAGATTTCACAATGTTGTCTGTTCTATTGTGATGCTTTTAGTTTATAAGTTATATTGGGCTTCGGAGCCTCTAAAGTAAAGGATGAACTGGGGGCAATGAGATACAGACTCTGCAATTCCCTTGTTTAACTGACCATAAAAATGATGAAATTGAGAAAAACATTAAGCAAGTCTTTGAGCAAGGTCGTTGATTGAGAGTAGAGACGGATGATATGTTTCAAGTGTTTCTAGACCACGTGGCTGAGTTTGCTGCATTTACTAAAGAATGTAAATGAGAGACAATGACATTGCAGAAATAAGGCTTTTCCTACAAGAAAGCTAACCATAATAGTATATTATAGTGATAATATCTTTCATGGAATTATCTTTTAACATATTTTGTATGATCTACCTTCTCAGAATTTTATGCTTTAACTTCACTGCAGGGAAAAGCACAAACTTTTATTGCTGGGGCACAATCTATATCTGATTTGCTATCACCTATTGGAATGAGTCCATTGACTTGTGAGTTGAATACTGTCTTTACTAGATGCTTATAAGATCATTTGATATATCTCGATGCTTACAATATGATTAATTATTGTTTCAGCATGGTTTTTATCTAGCAATGCTCCCTTTGATTGCAAAGGTTTTAGCATTATATGTGCATCCATATGCATGGTAGGCTCTTAAAATTCTGTCTTCTCCTCCCTTCTATTCAACACTCTTTGTTTCTCTCCACTAACTTTGAAATCTTTGAATTTTTCAGATAATTTCTCTTTGTTTTGCTTGCTTGCTGAAGCCAGATAGTAGTTCCAGTAATGACATAGAGGGTAGCCCAGAAACCCCGCTTCTGAGTGACAACTGATTGGATCAATTGGACACGTGCTTGGTCAATCATGTATATAAGGCATCCTTGCCTCAATATCGTCTGCTCCAAATAGTCCCTCTTTTTTTTTTTTTTTTTTTTTTAATTGGCTATGGGAGAAAACAAGCAAAGTAAATAATCATCAGCTATATTGAAGACATAAACAATGTAAATAATCATTGAACGCTATATTTTGCCATTAAAAGTAAACAATTGGATGAGTTTGAGATTATGATTTGGTTTAGTTTTGACAAAAATTTTCGCTCAATATGAACTAAACTAACCGGATTGGGAACGAATTGGTTTGGCTAGGATTTATAATATCAAATATTATAATAAAATTAAAAATGGTTTGAAAAATCTATAAATTTTAATTTTGTTCTATCCAAATTCAATACAAAACCAAAATTTAAAAATATTTAAAACATAAGTTTAGGGCTTATACAAAACCTTTTTTTATTTTTGAAACAATATACATAGAAGTGTCTCTTCCCTATTAGCGTAAAAGCATAAAATGTAGGGGTGAGCATTAAACCGACACCCGAACCGAACCCGAAAAACCCGAAAAAAAATATTGCTTTTGGGTGGGTTCGGGCGGGTCTTATGGGTAAATCGGGTTAAAATTTTGATTTTATACGGGTTATATTGGGCGGGTTCGGTTTTAAATTTTTTAATCCGCTAAAAACCGAACCCAACCGAAAATGAGATAAGTTTAAATTTTTATTACTTTTGTATAACTAAACAACAATGATCCAAATTTAAAAGTCTTTATTTCAAGTATAATATAGTCATCAATTTGTAACTTATTTTTTTTCCTTTTTCTCATAACTTAGATATTTATTTTGTCTTCTCCTTCCTCGTTCAACTTCTCAACATACTAGTCCATTTTTAGAGTTATCTTTTTGCTTCTTTCTTTGTCTTTCTTTTCCATCTTCTTATCTCCATTTTGAGTATATTTTGTGTGACTGTGATTTCTTATGGTTTTGTAATCTAACTTTATATTTCTTTTCCATGTAACAACTATGAATTTTGTTATCTTTTATTTTTGCTTCTTTAGTTTGTAAATGTTTCAACTACGAATCTATTTACACCATCTATTGTCACCTTCATTCTATTTTTATACACTATTTTAAAAATATTTTTTATCGTTTTAAGCTTCATCTTCGTTAAGATAAATTGGTCTACAAAAAAATTCAAACCCGATTATACCCACCCGCTTAAATCCGAATCCGTTTCAACCCGAACCGCCTCAAATCGAAAGCTCAGTCGGTCGGATATGGGTCACATTTTTTCAAAGTCGGTTTACAACGGGTTGGACATTTTTCACCCAAATCCGACCAAACCTACCCGTTGCTCACCCCTAATAAAATGTCACCTACCAATAAATTATATAACTATTTAACCAAAAAAAAGAAGAAGTTTAAGATGCCAAGCCAACCGTTCACCAAGAGGCCAACTACCAAACTATACTTTTGACCCAATGTGACTAACGGATACAATTTTACAACGAGCTTCTGCTGAAAAAATTATAAGCCAGAGTACTGAACTTTATTCATTTAATGATTAATTTCGATTTACCACAGGCTTGAATATATTTTTTATTCTTCAAGTTTGACTAGATCTTTTTTTAATTCCGAGATTTTAAAATAATCTCCTAACTTAAAACAGTCCATTTTTATTTTTACAATTACTGTTTTCATCATTTTAGTCCGTAAAGATTAAAAATGAGTTATTTTTAAATTAAGGGATGAATTAGATAGAAATAAAAGAGAAATGATCCCTCTCATTTATAAATTTTATAATATAAATTTTTATAAAAATAATAAATATTTTTATTGATAAAATTAAAATACATTTTTAATTAATATAAAAATATTATTAATCCTCTTGTCCAATCATGACAGAGATTCTGGCACTTTGGTTAGCATTTTGTTTGTGCCACGCTCAATTAACAGAACAAAGGTGCACAAACATGTCAGACCTGAATTCTTTGCAGTCAAATTTGATACAGCTTACCCCGCAATCATGATCTAAGAGCTACAGCTTTATGTTGTTATATTTTATTAATTTATAAGAGTTGAAAGAGAAAACTAAGGGTAGAGATTAAGCTCCTTTTCTCTCTCCAACTGCACATCCAAACATGGCACTGAGAGAAGTGAGGTCTTTGATTCACTTGCTGCTGCCACTTAGCATCCACTGGGTCGCTGGTGAGATGACAGTTTCTGTTATCGTTGATGTCACAACCTCTGCTTTATGTCCTGGGGACTCCACTTGCCCCAAAGCTATTTATATCAATGGCCTCCAACAAACGGTACCAATATCACGCGCTTTCTCTTTCTGCTTTATTTACCATCTTCTTTATGCCCACAAAATGAAGGGATAAGAGTTCTGAAGCCTTGTGTTATTATGCTATTGAATTTGGCTCTCTTTGGTAAAATTCTTTACAAGCACTTCCAAATGAAACAATATAAAAACAGAATTTGAACAAACTTCTTTGTAAGCTAAAATTAATTTATTTATAAGTTAAAACCAAAGTTTTGGAAAAGTTAATGTAAATTAGCTTGTTAGCTTATGAAAATGTTTATTCCGTTGTTGCTTCTTATCTTTATCTCTTGGAAGTGTTTATGTAAAAGTTTACTCAATCAAACTCTGAAATTGGTGTTACATTAAAGTTTGCAAGGATTGTCCTGGTGACATGTTAGTGAATAGCAATTTGTCTAATAAAGCATCGAAGTATTTCATTCAAATATCATAGAGGCAAGATCTTATTGATGAATGAAGTCACCAAGATGTTATACATTGTGAATAAAGGAAATTAATATTACCTTACTCGAATAAGATTATTTACCTCCCATAAAACATACTTGTGTTCTCCCCCCCAAAAAAAAAAGAAACGGAAGAGTAAGGATGATTTTCTAATTTCTGCACAACCCTACATTTATTTACATTTTTGTTGTACCAAACTATGACATCTATCTTACATTTTGTCTATATGTGCAGTTCCCCATACTTCCTCTTCCTCCATTCATTATCTTGCTTCACGGATAATTTGGTCCATGTTCTTATATGGCAGATTCTTTATTTTTCCTATTCATGATTTCCTTCTTTGATACATTTGATGTGTGTGTGTGTGTGGAATATAATGAGGAGGTTTGATTTTATTTTTACTAAATTTTAAATTTAAATTTAATAATGTAATATTTCTGCAGATTGTTGGAATTTTTAGGATGGTGGTACTTCCACTGTTGGGTCAGCTTTCAGATGAGTATGGCCGTAAATCCTTGATCATTATTACCATGTCCACGACCATATTTCCCTTTGGTATGCACGTCGTCATAAAATGCATTGAGACTTGTGAAAATTTACCACCTCAATATCTTATTGACTAATATCATAACAAAGCTTCTAAATTTCATAGCAATGTTCCATTTATTTTATTCTGCTGTGCTTTCTATTTCCTTTAGTAGTTTGTTCATGAAATTGATACCAAATTAATATGCTTTGCTGAAGTTTTGTCTGTCGAAGTCTTGAAAATTATTTCTTCATATTGTATTCTTATAGACTTCATGTAGTTTATTATTAGCTTAATGTTGACAGATGATTTGGTCACAAATGATACAAGTAAAATTCCATCTTCTCTAATTAAAAAGACATACATAAAAATGTGAACTCAACATTTTGCTCAATCTAATGTGTCGGTAATGTTAAGCTGTCCATAACAATATTGATTACTTAGAATTTCAGTAATGGACGGAAAAATTAAATTGAAAGGAAAGTGAATGCATTTTCATCCTTCTAATAAATCTCAAAATGATCCACAAAATCAGGAACGTGAAAGATGTTGGTTTAAATGAATATGCAAATAGATAATAACTCGTTATCACTTTCTCTAATTCCATCTAAGTTTGTTTACTCATGGATTATTATTTTAAGTCAGTTTAGATATAAGTTAGAAGTGTTTTGGAGAGTTTTTCTATTGAAAAAAACTTTTTATTTTTATTAGAGAAACTCTTTAAATCACTTCCAAGTTTGTATCCAAACTCTTACTCTTCTCATAGCATTCTTGTTGCATGCAGCTTTACTTGCCTGGCATCAGTCTGAAGAATTTGTCTATGCCTATTATGTGGTTCGCACAATCGCAAATATAATCAGTCAAGGGAGTGTTTTCTGCATTTCACTTGCATATGCGGTGAGATTTTTTCTTAACTAATTGAATATAAACGTAAGAAGGTGAAGAGTTTTGTATTCACCTTTTATACTTTGTCAGGCAGATGTTGTGGATGAAAGCAAAAGGGCAGCAGTATTTAGTTGGATTACTGGTCTTCTTTCTGCTTCACATGTTCTGGGGGATGTACTGGCTTTGTTTCTTCCTGAAAAGTACATTTTTGTGGTATGTTTGTGCCATGAGTACTATATTAATGTTCAGATCATATATTCATATCACAATTTTTTTCATACTTCCCCTTTGGTAATGAATCTTACTTACTGTTCAATGATTTCAGGTAGCAATAGCACTATTGATCTTTTGTATTGTATATTTGAAATTCTTCCTTGTTGAGACGGTGATACTGGCTCCAAGAAATAGTCCTAAGTCAGGCTGGTGGGCTAAAATTGTTGATGTTTTCCAACAAAGATATAAAGCTATGAGGACAGCTGCGGAAATAGTAATTTTCAGGTTGTCTATCCTTTTTGAATGTTAAGCATTTTTATTTATCGTCATAATTAGAACTAGTTGATACGTGTAGTTTTCTTTTGTGAAATAGTATATGTGCACGAATCCTAAATACTGATATATTTTATTTTGCAGTCCCACTTTAAGGGGCATGGCTCTTGTCTCCTTCTTTTATGAGCTGGGAATGTCGGGCATAAGCAGTGTTTTGCTGGTATGTTTCAATTGATTTAAATGAATCCCCAATTGCCTTGCTATTTTTATTTATTTATATTTGAAGACCATATGCTGAGGTTCTAGTTATGTTGACAGATGGATTGTTGGTTTTTTGACCCAAGAAAACAAAAGTTGGAGCATTTTTTACCAAGTTGTTAAGAGAGTGATTAATGCTAATTCCGCATTTTTAATTTAAACTATAGTTTCAGCATAAGGTTCAAATTTTTCAGTGATTTGTACACATTTCAAGGCCAAAGAGTTTTATGTGAGGGCTTGTTCCAGATTTTAATAAAAACCAATATTTGGTCTTCTCCAAATAAGTCACGCTTTTGGGATATAGAAGATTCCTTAACGTATGTGCCTCAAGTACACTATTCTTACGCTGCAAGCATGTGTCAAACTAACATATTTTTACCTTCAACTCTGCCTTTGAGACAATATCAATTAACATTTTCTACAAACAACTGCATTGTTTTAGTTCATATTTATATTCTGTTATTTTATCAACTTCCTTTTTCCTCCTTTCTTTTTGGAGTCACCGTGATGATCTACTTGTTCGCACAAAACTATAAGGATCACAAATCACATTAAATAACGTATCTATTTATACTTCTATCATGAATATTGCCCATGCTATTACTGCTATTCTTATTTTTAGGGTTTGTACTTGATTAACAAATTTCTGTTTTCTGATTCCATAGTTTGACAGTCTAACAATTCCTTTGCAGTACTATTTGAAAGCTGTTTTTGGTTTTAACAAAAATCAGTTCTCAGAACTTCTGATGATGGTGGGAATTGGTTCAATCTTTTCTCAGGTATACTAGTTCCCAAAGAAATTTTCTTTAATTTCTCCATACCTAAAATTAATGATATCTTGTATTTTTATATAATTTTTTTTAACAAGAAGCTAGTAGGTTATATGATTATTCTCTCCCAGGTAAAGAGTGCATAACAGAATTATAAACTTTCTCATTCTTATTTGTGTAATTAATGTTCTGCTTGCCTAAAATTGTTTCTAACTCGGTGATATTCAATGAGGCTTCTGTGCGTGTTTGATAAGTTGGTTATGCATGAGTTTTTATTTGTTTGAAGTACTTACCCTCAGTTGGCTTTCAGATGTTGTTGCTTCCAATACTCAACCCATTGGTTGGAGAGAAAGTTATACTCTGCTCTGCCTTGATTGCATCAATAGCATATGTATGTTATCGTGTATTCCTTTACTTCTTCTCCCTTGCTTCCTGAAAGTAAACATGTTCATACCATTGTGCTATTCGTTTTTTTATCTCTTTGTAGGCTTGGCTCTATGGATTAGCATGGGCACCTTGGGTACGTAAAATTGATAACTTGCTGTATGTTGTTTTAATTTCATTGTTTATCTTTTTATAACTCTTCTCCTTCAGCTTTATCACATGTATCTATAGTAAGCTTTTCAAATAGCTTGAATAAAAAGTTATACCGGGAGTCTATAATTTTGTTTCCATACCTTGTTTCATGTATTTGTTACAGTACCATACAATTATATAAATTTACATTACACATGTCTTGCTAAAAATCTTTCAATCTACATTTCCTTATTCCGAGTAATAGTAATTGAGTTTAATTCAACAATGCAGGTACCATACTTGAGTGCCTCTTTTGGCATCATCTATGTCCTTGTGAATCCTTCCGTGAGTAGTACATCTATATTCCTCATATGTGATAAGATTATAACCCACCTTTATAGTTACAATCCACTTTATGATCCTGATATGGCTATTAATTTCTTGACATGCAGACTCACGCTATTATTTCAAATGCGTCAAGCTCAGCCAATCAGGTTTGCTCTTCCTTTTATGTATCCAATATGTAGTTAATATTCATCAAAAAGCTACACTTGCAAGCAGTGAATCGAACCACATAAAACATTACACTGAATGTTAAGTGCTGTACTACAAACAGCATTACTCCTCACAAACTAACAAATAATCTTCTCGACAACACGTCATCTCCTGCTAAAGTATCTATTAACATTATTGGATTTAAAATTAGAAGCATCCATAAGCTTGTTTTAGCGAACAGTGGAAATGATCTCATCTTCAGTTAGAGGGGTAGCATTCACTATGTGATTGATCAACGCTTTTCAAGCCAGAAGTAACACTGGAGAAAAATAGTAATCCCATTACATAACATGTTTATAAACATATGCTCTTTTGAAGACACGATTTCCACAATCTATTAAAAACACGGCGTTCAAAGTAAAGAGAATCACGATCATCAATAAAGATTACATTTAAAAAGAATCTTTGAGTTATATTGTTCAATTAACATGTAGTTTTTATTTATTAAAATTTACATCATGTCCTGTTTTGACTGGTATATAGACTAATCAAAGATTTCAAAATTTTCTCTGTTCTATTACGAGGCTTTTAGTTAATAAGTTATAATATTGGGATTTGGAATCTCTAGAGTACAGGGTGAACTTGGGACAATGAGATACAGACACTGCAGCCATATGACGTGGTTTAACTGACCATGGAAATGGTGAAACTAAGAAAAACAATACGAAGGAAAAGTCTTCGAGCAAGGTATATTTCAAGTGAAATTTTCTAGATCATGTGGCCGAGTTTGCTGCATTTTCTAAAGAATGAAAATGAGAGATGATGGCATAGCAGAAATAAAGCTTTTTTCTACAAGAAAGTTAAGCACAATAGTATATACTATATAACAATAATATCTTCCATGGAAATGATGGAATCATCTTTAACACATTTTGTATTATCTTCCTAGTTCCTTCTCAGAATTTTATGCTTTAACTTCACTGCAGGGAAAAGTACAAACTTTTATTGCTGGGACACAATGTATATCTGATCTGCTATCACCTATTGCAATGAGTCCGTTGACTTGTGAGTTGAATACTGTCTTTGCTAGATGCTTAATTAAACCATTTGACAATTCTCAATGCTTACAATATAATTAACTATTGTTTCAGCATGGTTTTTATCTAGCAACGCTCCCTTTGATTGCAAAGGTTTTAGCATTATATGTGCATCCATATGCATGGTAAGCTCTCTAAATTATGCCTTCCTTCTTCTCTCTTTCAATTGTGCACTCTTTCTTTCTCTCCACTAACATTGAAATCTTTGAATTTTTTTAGATAGTTTCTCTTTGTTTTGCTTGCTTGCTGAAGCCAGATACTAGTTCAAGTAATGACACAGAGAGCAGCCTAGAAACCCCAATTCTGAGTGATAACTGATTGTATCAATTGGCCAATCATGTATATAAGGCATCCTTCCCTCAATAACTTCTGCTCCAATTCCAAATAGCCATCTTATTTTATATTTTATTTATTTATTTATTTAATAGAATTGGCTGGGGGGAATATAAGCAAATAATAGTGAAGGGGTGGGAGAAAGAGAGAGATGACATGGCGTCATCAGCTATATTGAAGACTTGGTCTTAAACAATGTAAATGATCATTGAACACAATATATTTTGCCATATAACATAAACAACTGGACAAGTTTGTGAGATTTGAATGGCAATACATTTAAATTATTTCCGGTTAATAATTTTTACGATGAATATTCGATTTAGAGATATTTTCTGCTTTACCATGATTTGTGATATATTGATCAAATTATTAGAGACATTTATAATAAGAATATGCTACTTAACGCAGTAGAGTTAAGTTAGGCGGGTCTGAACTTTTTCTTTATAAGAAAAAACTAAAACATCCTTATATAAATTAGTCTTCATGCTATTGACATTATGTATCTAATTTATTCTTTATATGTTTTTAATTCTTTTCAAATATTATCATTTAAACTTAATTAATTTCATTTGGAATTTTATTTTTAAATTTTGAACGAGTAAACAATCATTATTGTATCTAAATTTGGAAAATATTTTCATATAAATATTTGAACAAGGTATATTAAGTCGGGTGCCATCATTATAATTCAGATGAATAAAAAAAATTAATTGAGAAAACATCACATAAATTTCTAAAAGTAAAGAGGCACATTAAAAAATGTGTAATTAAAAATATAATATTCATATTTATTAAAGTAATGGAATGACAATAAATAAGTTCTAGAGACTTATTTGACATTTTAAGCATTTATTTAATATTTTCTTAGTTTCAATGATTAAGGGTGTATTTGAGAACTAATTAAGTTCAACTCAATTAGAGTTAGAAAAAAAATTACATTTATAAATTTTTCCATTTTTTTTATATTGAAATACATGTTTTTAGTTGAATATAATTTTAAATTGGTATTTAAACATATACTAACACTACTAGAAAAGTGTCATTTTCTTGCTAATTTTCTTGCAAAAAAATATTCGCAGAAATTTTTTGCGAATTTTCTTGCAAAAAAATATCGCAGAATTTTTTTTTACGAATTTTCCTGCAAAAAAATATTTGCAGAAATGTTTTACGAATTTATTTGCGAAAAATAATTTACAGATATTTCTTACAAATTTTGCTACAATTTTAATAATCATAGAAATTTTTTCCATGGTAAAAATTTGCAAAAAATATTGTAAGAATTTTATTTTGTTTCTTGCAGATTTTCTTGCAAAAATAAATTCGCAAGTAATGTTTACTAAATTGGTAGAAAAATTTTGCAGGTAACTTTTCCTGCGAATTTTCTTACAAATTTTAATCTGCAGGAAAAATAAAAAAAATATTTAAATATATAAGTTTAATATTTTAAAAAAAATTCAAATCCCACACCGATTGAAAATAAAGAAATTAAAGAATATATAAGTTGAGGCAACACTTACCTTACAAATTGATTTGTATGTTTAAGTATTAAGTTTATAATCTACAATCTTAGAATTTAAAAGATTATGTATCACATGTTGAAGGTATGAAAAAAAATGTTTCGAATGAATAGAATTTATAGTAATTTATTTAATTTTTTTATGTTTCGAATGAATAGAATTTATAGTAATTTATTTAATTTTTTTTTCGTAAAAGAATGATTGATATTTTTGTTTATATATATATTTCTCCTATTCCATAGGTTCTGAGGAGAAGCCCATTTACAGGTTCAGCTCTTCAGTAAGTAGCAGCAACTTTGGAAGATAAGTAACTGTTTGCCATTGCCACTAAAGAAAGATTCAGACACACTAAGCTTTGTTTCAATTACATATGAAACAAACCATAGTATTGTGACACGAACATGGAACTTCTCTCTGTGTCTGTCACACTCGGCAAATGTCAAACATTTTCCTTTCCGAAACCGAAGACAACCCAAATTCATGAACTTCCAATAAACATAAGAATACCCAACAAAAGAAGTCACTCCAATCTTTCTTCTTCTTCTTGTTCCTGTAATTGGTCCATTACAAGGGTAGCAGCAACACCATACCCCTCCTTCAATGCTTCCACCACACAGAACCGCCACTGGATGGTGCTCATGGACACGCCTCCTCATGGGGTCAATTCCAAGCCACAAGTCATTGATTATTACGTGAACACTCTACAGACAGTTCTTGGCAGGTACTTGTTTAATGGTTTTTGTCCCTTTTTCGTACTCTCTCTTGTTTAGGAAAAAAAGGCTTTTAATTTGGTTTCAACAGTGAGGAAGATGCTCAGATGTGTATGTATGATGCTTCATGCGACACCCACTTCGGTTTTTGTTGTGACATTGATGAAGAAATATCTTCCCAGTTGGCCAGTAAGTTGTTTTTTTCTTCTTCTTTGATTGGTCAAATTCCTTGATGATGTGATAATCTTAGGAGTAAGGATAGTTTGTTCACAAGAAAAATGCTAATAACACTGTTTTACTAATACTCTCTCTACTATGAATTAAAAAATAGAAATTTTAGTGATTCTCGCTACTAAATCAGGAGAAGTTTCATTAACTGAGATGTGAGATACATAAAATTTGCAATTTTTAATGATTTTCAGCTATAATAAAGAGAGTGCCGGAAGGGTTCGCTAGCATTCCTCTTGTTCACAATTTCAGTTGTGCTTATCTGTCCAATGTAATAGATTGTTGCTGCAAAATAGAAGTTTGGAGTTTTTAGTACTGTGGAAATGATGTTGCGTTTGATGTTATTTTTAAAACGAATTTGATTTTAATGCACGTATGTTGCTAGGTTTACCTGGGGTCTTATTGGTTAGGCCTGATCCGGATTTCAACTCTTTGAAAAAGGACTATAGTTTATCAAGTGACCAGGCAGGCCATCCGCCAAGATTACAAACTAGAACCAGCATGTTGTTTCCTGCTGGAAATTCAAAGCATTGGCTTGTTAGAATGGACAAGCCTGGGGTTGAGGTTGTTACCAAGGCTCAGATTGTCGATTATTATGCTCAAATTTTGACCAAGGTCATGGGGAAGTAAGGACAGCAAATTCTAATTATTTTGCTTTCTTTATCACATTTCTCCTTTCCTAAATGTAAATGACAATAATGTCTGCAGTGAGAAGGATGCACAGATGTGTATATATCACGTTTCCTGGAAAACAAACTTTGGTTTTTGCTGTGAACTTGATGAGGATTGTGCACAAGAGCTGGCTGGTTAGCCTTGTAGAACCTTAACCCAAGTGAAAATTTTTAAATTACCCCATCATTTAATCACTTATTTTGGTGCAGGTGTGCCAGGTGTCTTATCTGTTCAGCCAGATAACAATTTTGAGTCTGAAAATAAAGATTATCAAGGTTTTCCATTTTGGAGATTACCCCACAATTTTTTTCCTTGGCAATTTCCTGTTAATATTATAATTTTACCTCAATAAAAGTCCTCAGAGTTATGTGTGATTATGTTCCTTCTGTTTCATGCACGTTCAATTATGCCTGTTAATGGTTTCCTAATCTTTGGTGTTGACCATTTGGCAATTCTCTCTCTGATTTTCAACTAACTATACATCTCCAGGTATTAAGTCAGAAAATAGTTGGAATGCGTCCAATTCTTCTGGCACAAGTCAGGAAGCTCCCTTGAAAACAAAGAAACTTTTTGTGACAGGTATGCAGTATGCTCACAACAATTATTGTAGGTATAATTATAAATCTGTGCTTTATCCTCAGTTCATCTGGGTGTTCATATGATGGCTATTCAACTAAGAATTATATGTGAATTACCTTGCCAAGAACAAATAATTTGGCATGTACTTGCCTTTACAAAATACATGGTACAAGTAATCAAAGAAAATCAATTTTTAAAAAATAAATAATTTTATCAGGAAATTTTCAGTTGTCAGATGGTATTTGTTTCTATCTTTCATGTTTAGTTTAATTTCTCAACCTATTCTTCATTTTGTGGGAGCTTTAATTATTGCTTGGGAAGAGCATTTTTGGTTCTTGCATGTTATGTTACTTAGAAATTACATGTCTTTTCAACAGGGCTATCATTTTATACATCTGAGAAAACTTTACGCGCAGCATTTGAAGGCTTTGGCGAGTTAGTTGAAGGTAGCTTCATCTTCATGTATTATTCTTCTTGTTCATCAGTACTTAGTGTCTCAAAACAGATTCAAATTCATCTCAGTTTTTACTAATAAATGGTTTTGTTTGACAGTTAAAGTTATTATGGATAAAATTTCAAAAAGGTCCAAGGGTTATGCATTTGTTGAATACACCACAGAGGAGGCTGCAAGTGCAGCACTCAAAGAGATGAATGGCAAGGTAGATGCATCTTTCATACTTGCTTGAAAAGTGTAGTTTTGCTTTGCATCAGTTCTGCTTCATGACTGTCATGGAGAAAGAAAAAGAAAATGGGTTTAGTAATTCAGAAATGAGAGTCTTGGCAATCTTTTTGATGATTTTGTTTTGTGTGCAGATTATCAATGGCTGGATGATAGTGGTAGATGTTGCTAAACCTAACCCACCAAGATACAACAGGAATCATGTCACTTCATGAAGTTGACAAAAATCGGTACTCTGACCAGCTCTGCTGTGTGGATTTAGTTCCTTTGAAAAGTTTGTGCTGTCATCCACTCATCCTTTATGCTTTCAAGGCATGACAGTTTAAACTAGACTCATGTTCATGTTGGAATATCTATAACATGTCTGAATATTTTGTACATATTATAGGATCAATTAGTACTCTATCTTAGGAATTTTTCTTAATTTCGTTGTTATCCAATTTATTTCCTTACTTGATTAGGGTTAAGAATCTTATCATATTAGTGGGTTTGTGCTTGAACTAGTAGTACTATAGAAGTACTTGATCTAATCATTATTATAAATAAGTCTTGGTTATTTAGGTTTTACTTCACATATAATGAATCCAATTTCATAATACTCAGAGGTCAGAGCCCCCTTTCTCTTCTTTTCCTTTTCTAAGGCCTATAATTTCAAGTTTTCAACAGTTCACTATGCAGAGTCTTGTGCATATTTGAAATAAGAAAATTACTTGATCTGTGTCTGAAACTGAATTATAGAACTTAGAGATATGTTCCTGATCATATACATGTTTCCAATCATCCCTGTTAACACATTTCACTTATACATGCACTGAATCAAAATCAAATACACTCCTTTTGGTTTCAATAACTCAGTGGCTCGCTGTCAAACTCCATAATTGCTTTTTTATTTTTATTTTTCATTTTTCCATCTGTTTATCTAATAGAATTCTCTTGACTGTGGAATGCTTGTCTATTCTTCCAGAGTTCTTACACTCTCACCACTGGCAATAACAGCAGAAAAAGCTTGCCTTTTTTCTTGGTTGTGGATGTAGCATATCTGTAGTGCATTTGTCACCATGCATTCTGTTTTCAGTGCTCACTCATGCCAGTGCTGTTAACTTTCTATCTTTTCTTTTCATAACTTCCAGATATGGGAGATCAAAGCAATGCATACTTCATGGCTTATCCTTCCCCTTTACCTCCATTCTGATTTCAGACTTGTCTTCGGTATGCAAGCAGGTATCTAACAATTCAATCATATTAACTAGATGTTTTAGGCAGTTAGGACTACACTTTCCCTTGTGAGTGAAAATACAAACCAATATTGGCCAGGATTCCTACAGATTGTGTGAGAGTGAGCCTAAGGCATGCTGCAGTTGACTAGCAATATTGTAGCCTCTTCAGGAATCTGGCTTCCTGTTAAGGATCAGAAAAGAATGGTGAAGTTTGGGATCTGGGTTCTTATTGTTATTCAAGCATTATTTTAATACCAACATGAATCGATTATGAGAATACCAAGTTGACTTCCTATATACCAGGACAAGTCTTACAACTGAGATAGGTGTTTTAAGAAAATGGTAGTGGAAGTTGTAACATAATATATTCTGAATGAGGAATGAAGCGTTAGCAAACATTTCCATATTCTCTTCGATTATATTCAAAATTATGTCATACATGGACTTGTTTTGAATCGTGTTACAAACTTCAAAGAAAGCTTTGGCAATTCTATGTTACGCTACATAAGTTAGGAATGTTGTTAGCTTCATCCACACAAGTTTAATCTATACAAAAGCAAAGATAACTGTAATGTTTTCAGTTATTGTTCTTTTTTCATGACCTTGGTTTTTATATTATACTTGATTGTTAATTGGAATGTCAGCTAGGAAAGATGTCTTGGCATTCTATATTTGGGCTTTATACCAATGGCTCAATTTTTGGGTCTTCTTTAAAATGCCCAAGTTTCTGCTACAACGGGCATAAACAAGGCCTTATGTGTCATGAATGGACCAATGAATAAATAAATACTTCATCTAGTTATCAACCCAATCAATCACCAACTCATTGTCTGATTATAAAGCTACTAAAGTAATTTTTCACTTCAATCCACATTCTAATATTATGTGATATGATGTGTTTAGAAATGTGCAAACAATAAAGAGAAACCATTCCATGTCACATAAGACTAATGGGAAATTGTTTAATCCTCAGGAAAATTGTTCCATAATTTTTTCTATTCTGATATCTAAATCCAACCATGAATTTATATATAAGCGAAAATTGTTGACTTTTTTTTAATATTTACTTTAAAAATTATATTTCAGGTGATTTTTAATTAGTTGACAGTATACAAATATTTACATAAACAATAAATTAAGATTAAACTCATAAGAAAGTTTATGTCTTAATTAAGGTTTTACATTTACCCTGGAAAATCCACAAGTTCATTTTTGTCTTTACATTTAAGACTTGAAGATGGAGTGGACTTTTGTGAATCCTTGGGGTCTGATCAGCCCAATAAAAGATAATTTGTTGATCTGGTCTAACCAGGTTAATACGTTTTAACCGTTTCTTTTTCTTAGAGACTGAATTAATCATAGTTGACAAACAAGACGTTGATGATCTAATAATGACTTAACCGATATAGTTGCATCTCAAGCAAACCTACTTTTTCTTTCTTCATTTCTCTTTTTACCTTCAAAATTTTGAACTTTACATTACTTTTATTCAGTGCGTAAATATAATTTTATAATAGTTTCCTGATGTTGATTTTGTTTGTTTTTTGTTTTTTTTGGTTGATTTTATTGTTCAGAGCTAAGGTAGTACTAAAGAACTATAATTTTGTTGTGAATTTGGGCTTGGTTAAAAATTAAATGGCCGGACATTAGTGATAGCCACTCTTCTGACTACATTTTTTGCCCCTTAAATCAGCATTTGGCATTATTTGAAAAATTGGTTTAAAGATAGCAGTTAGTGAATAAGTGTTAGCAACTCATGACCGTCCAAGGTAGCAGGATTATTAACATTTTAGGAAACATTTCCAACTCCATGAATTATATATAGAAACATTGACCAATTACAAATACCAGAACATTTTTATATTTGTTGTAGAAATGATGTAAATATTACTGATGTAGGATAAAAATGATTTTCTACATAAGTTAAATTATAATCAATATAAAATTGTAAATAAAAAAAATTACGATAACACGTTCTTTACTTGCTTCTCTATCTCCTCACTTGCACTTACTTTGATGTGGAAAATAATTATTTTTTTTTTACTAATATACTAATCATATATTTTTTTAATTTGTGAGAATTGAATTCGATACTAAGAAAATTTACAACAACTCATATGCCGTACTCAACCAAATAAGATAACCATATGATCTTGAGTTGTTGCTTCAAGTTATATGTAGTGGACTCATAAAAGTAGAGTTGCTTAACTGAAAGGTAGACAAGCAACTTCACTAATGTTTTGGAGTTGGGTTTCAATTTTCAAAATCTTAACCAACAAGCAAAGAATGATTGACAATTTAACTGCTAATTTTGCTATGAGAATCTCAGCTTAATTGCATGATGGGCATTGATTAAACCAGAAAATGTGGACATGGAAGAAAAAAAATGGAATTACCTTACAAAAGGCACAATATTCCGTTGGTGTTATTCCTATTAATATATGCATGGTGGCAAGTGTTGGGTACAAAAAAATCTTCTTTTCTTTTACGCACAATAATAATGACAAGAATCATATTAAAATAACATCATAAAAGAAATAGAAAAAGATCATACAAATTTATTTAACGTGGTTTAGCCCCTCATACTTACGTCCACAAGGATGTTCATTATTTATCTCAAATGTATTACATATATCTTGAAAATCCTCTCTTCAAGTTTTGTGTGTTAAACTTGAAAACTCTTTCCTCACAAGTTTTATGGGTGAAACTTGAAAACCCCTTCCTCACAAGTTTTCTGACGAAACTTGAAAATCATCATTCACAAGTTTTTTAGCGAAACTTAGAAACTCTCTTTCATATAACCTCTTCTCTCATTTAAGATGGTGAACCCCTCTACAACCCCTCTACAGGTCGGGTGATTCTTCTCATCTCAAGAATTTATATTTATTGATCTTACATCACAATCTTAAAACAGAAAACAAATCTCTAAAATAAATACAATATATTTCAATTCTAAACAATATCTTAAAAAATTAATATTTTTTAAAATCTATATACTATATTAAAGATTTAAATTTGAAAATTTGAATTATTTTCTCAATAACAATCACTTGGGTCCACTGCATATATGTCTCGTTCTTCAGAAAAGAAAAAGAGATATGCATGATTCACGTAGTTATGTTATGTCTCTTCTTTTCTTTTGGATAGCTTGGCGGCAATGAAAAAGACACCAAGGTGATGAGCGATGACAAATATAATTCTCAATTAGGTTCCTATTTTACCTTTTCGCGTCAACACCCAATAGTATATGTTTATACCATTGTTATCACTTTAAGACTTAAATAAGTTCCTCATATAGAAAGTAATTTTTTCCCTCACATTTAAAATTGATTTTTTCATTCTTATTAGATTGAAATGTCGTTGATGATGAATATGTAAATAAAATTTATGCAGTAAAACTTGTTGTACAAAATTTCCCAATTAATAATTTTATTAATAAAAATATTATATTAAACTCAACCTATATTACATAACTCATTCAATCTATCTCTATCAGTTATGTTGTTGGAAGCTTGGGAGGACTAAAACAATTTTTTTTTTTAAATTAAAAGAACTAAAAAAATAATTTTAAATTTAAGAAATTAAAAAATAATTATATTTTAAATTTAAACAATTTAAAATATATTTAAGTCTTGATTTAAATACTAAATTTTTAAAGAAAATGAATGTATTCGATTAAATTATATTGATTTAGTTTGATTGTTGATATTTATGCCCTAACTTCCAAAAATTATTTATTGATGAACAATAAATAAATACTCCATTAACTATTCTTTCCATTTCTTATTATTTTTTTTAAGAAAATACAGTTTTTAAAAAATTTATTGTTTCTAAAAAATTATTAATTAAACAAATTATTACAATAAAATAACATTTTTTATACAATATCCTTATTAATTAAAATTTTGGAGTACAATTATAATTTTTTTAAACATATTTAAGATACCAATAAATAACCAAAATAGAGTATTACTAGAAAAAATAAATGTTTTGTTTTAATTTTTACATAATTATTTTAAAGTAAATTAAAAACATTAAAATGACTAAGAGGAGGTAAAAGAAAGGGTCAATTTTTTTTTAATAATTCTTTTGTGGCTCATTTTCAGTGGATATAGTATGAATACCCAAAAATTCTTGTGTAAATTAAAAAAATTAAAAGCGAGTTAAAGGTTTATTTTATATAACTAAAATTTATAATAAATTATGTATAAATAAATCATATATTTAAATATATAAATAATTTATATTTTAAATTTTTATAAATAAATTTTTTGAACTTATAAATTATAGACTTAAATATGTTTTAAATTTCTATAAATAAACAAAATCGCTGTATCTTATTTTAATTCTTTGAAATTTTTATTTGTCGTTTTTAGGTCCTTGAGATTTTTCGAGTGCTTTTTTTCATTCTTTATCATTAATTCTAATTAATTTTGTGTTAAAATGGTAACAAAATATAAAATATTAATTAAAATAATTGTGGTATGAAGTAATATTTTAAATTAAGGTTATTAAATTATTTTACATGCATAATTTAATTAATTAATATATTTATTATTTTAAATATAGTATGAATAGAGATTTTTTTTATTTTAAATATAGTATGAATAAGGATTTTTTTAAAAAAATTAATATAGTAGGAACGAGGATTTTTATTATATTTTACTTTTTTCTTTGATACTTTGACTAAATTATATGTTTAGTCCTTTTATTTTTCTAAGATTTAATTTAGTTTGATTATTATTAAAATATTTAATTTGTTCTTCTAATTTTTAAAAAATGTTTAATGTTGTCTTTCTTAAAGGTGTAAGTAGGTTGGGTTGGTCAATGGATCCGTTTTTCAACCCAATCAAAATTTAACGAGTTAAGTTGGGTCGAATTTGTATAACTTTTTTTTAAAACTCAATCCAACCCAATCATGAACTGATTGGATTAGATTGGATCAATCGGATCAACATAATTACATGATTTAAATATGTTTTTAGTCTCTCAAACTTAGGATAAATTTATTTTTGTATAAAATCTACGTATTGGTATCCTTGTTAGTGAAAACATCACATTAAATTTAATTAATATTGCATAACTGTTTTAATTTGTCACTTTCAGATATGTTATTAGTGATCTAAGGGACTAAAACAATATTTTTGAAAATTATAGAAACTAAAAAAATAATTTTAAATTTGAGGAATCAAAAAGAAAATTTGTCTTAAATTTGAGAGACTAAAAATATATTTAAGTCTAATTAAATTTATTATTTTTTAATATTTTAAAATAGACATAAATAAATTGATATATTATTGTAAATACAATGTTATTAACCTATGAAGAAAACAATGATAAAAACTAAATTTGAAAATAAATTTGTTACATTATTATCTACTAAAAAACAACATTAATTAATATAATATAAAATATAAAATAATTATGTTATATTGTTACAATATTATCAATTTAAAATCACAAAAATTATTATTGAATAAGAATGACGATGAGTATTATCCTGAATAAATAGGCATTCAAATACTATTATTATTGTTGTTGTTATTATTTATTATTATTATTATTATTATTATTATTTATGACTAGATTGTGTCAGATTAGAGATAAAAATACAAATCTTGTTATTTGATTCATATGGTATCAAATTTTGATTATACTAAATTGGGTTTGACCTAAATATTGAAAAATTTAACCCGAATTTATTAGGTTAGTTAATATTGATCTAAATTGTATATTTTAATATAAAAAAATAATAATATGATATTATTACCTCTCATGAAAAGGTAACATAATATACTGTATACCTTATTAAGTTGTTAATATTGGAGTAGTTTTATTTTCACAAAAGTTTGTAAGATACAATAAAATTTGAGCCCAAAGTGATGGGTTGGAGGTAAATTTCGCTCTCCTGACCTCTGCCCGTTAAAGGCATGACGAGTTTAAATTTTTAATTTTAAAAAGATTAATTTATATTTTTAAAATTTGTCCACATGACCATCATATCGGATTTGGGTAAACTTATGAGAAACTCATCAATTTTTTTATAATTTTGATTTATATACATTTTAAATAAATTAAATTTTAAGTTATTAATTATATTATAATGTAATTAATATAAAAAAAATTAATAAACAAGAAAGAACTTATAAAAATTAAATTGTATTTAATTATGTGAACAACTTTAAGTTTGTAACTTATTGTAATTTAAATTATTTGAAAATTAAAATAATTAATTTTTATTTTTAATATTTATAAATAATTAATTGTTATAATTTAATGTGAATTAAAATATTTTTTAGTCTCTATAGTTTTACTTCCTTTATCTTTTAATTTGTATAGTTTAAAATAAACTTTTTAATTCATATACTTATTTGTTTTCAATTTTTTTTAGTTCCTACAGTTTGAGATAGATATTTTGAATCTATATACTTGAAATAGACAGTTTCTCGATTCTCCTCGTATGTATATATATATATTAAAAGAATTGTAATGGAGCGTATGATGTAGGGATTTGAGATATAAATCCAAATCCAATTTTTTAAGTTAGGAAAATCTTAAACTTGTACCTGACTAAAGTAGATTTTTCCTATTAAAATTGGGTCAAATTGGACAATTACTCACAAATGCAGTTTAGTTATGAAACATATCATTCCAATCAAGAACTTGTTAGTAGATGAAAATAGATTTTGCTTCTTTATAATTTTTATAAAAAAAAAATTGAACCAAATACTAAAAAAATTAAAAAAATTAATTCCCTCCCCTGCATCTATCTGAGTCAGAGTGATTAGCGGTCGAACATGGTGATAATGCTACCATTGTTTGTAGCTAATTAATGAAGATAATAAAATGATTATTCCTTCCATTTTCATGATGTGAACCAAATAATGAGAAACAAAAATTAATTTCCCCAATTAACTTATTCCTTCTTACGTCAACTAAAAAGAAAGAGTTTTTGAGTATTTATACTTGCTCTACTTTTGTCACCCAACACAAAAGGTTAATCCTCATCGATTGTGCTAGGGATCATCAATGGCACCCTCCATAACCTCTGTTGTCCCTTTGCTTTTTTTCCTCGTTTTCACAGGTATGTATGTATGTATATAAATTCGAAAATCCCAGAATGAAATTAAATTCCCTCCATAACCTCTGTTGTCCCTTTGGTAATCACAGTTGTAGAAGTGGAAGGGGCTAAGAAGACATATGGGGTATTAGACAACAACCCTTTAAAACTATTTGTTTTTGGGGACTCCTACGTTGACACAGGGAATTTCGTGCATTCAGAGTCATATAAGGTTCCCAATGGAATCACTTTTCCTGGTACACCTGCAGGCAGATTCTCCGATGGTCACGTCCTCACTGATTTCTTTGGTAATTAATTCCTTTTTCACTCTCTCTCTCTCTCCGTACATGCATCAAAAATCAATGCATCATGTATGGATCAAAATTATCTCTCTCTTATACATATTTTTCTTTCTTCTTTCACTAATTTCCTAATTTCTAAAATAAAATAAAAAATATATCAGTATCGTTTCTTTGTTAGATGTCGATACTCTTTAGATACTTCGCGTATCTAAATGGTATTTAATCTTTTATTTATTTTTTTATTTTTTCTAAGATATTTTTTAGATACTTTCAACTATGTATCCAAAAAAACTTGTATTTTTTTTTTTTACAATGATGTTTCTTTTCTCATGTTAGATAAAGAATTGGAATACATACTTTTTTTTATTTCTTCTCCGAAAAAAAAAAGAATTTAAAAAAGATAGAGAACTTGATTCATGAGTTCAACCTTCAACTTTTACCTATAAACGATGAAGAGTATAAAAGAGGAGATGTATAGTTATTGTAATTAAGATATTAATAAAGACACATATTATCTATTTGATGATAGTGTTGAGCTTGTTAAATTGACATTGTCTTTTAGTGAATTTTAAAATAATTCTCTCTCTCTCTCTTTTGTTTAATGAAAGTAACAAAGGGAAAAGAAAGTGATACAATGAGCCTAATATATAATTAAGTAATGATACTTTTAAGTCATAGAATAGTGTATAAAACTAATAATTGTTTTAAATTTTGTCAAAAATGCTTTTAATAATGTAGTTAACTTAAAAGACTAATTATGATATAGATAAAATCTATTTTTTTTTGTTATGATCACAAATATTTTTTATATGATATGTTATATATCATCATAATTATGAATTAATTAGAAATAAATAATGTCTTTTCTTTATTGACATTTTACCTTTGTATAAATTTTTCTATTAAATTTTATTAACATTTCTAAAATATAGTATATCCTAAATTTAAAAAAGTTGTTTTATTTCAATATCTTTGTGATATCTTTATACCGTGTTGTATTAAGTATCCATTATTTATATTAAATCTTGTTGGTATCTAATCACGCAATATTAAACGGTTGTGTACAAGTTTGTAGTTTGTACATATACAAAACAACAACAATCATGAAATCTGGTAGTTTAAATTCTGATAGCTAGGCATGATGAAACAGAGACTTTTCTATTAATTAATTGCAAGATTCACGTCTTTAAATTTGGCACACCAAGATATATATAACTGAATCCGTGTGGTACTGGTAGACTATCAAACAATTAAAAGAATATCACAAATAAAATCAATCTTTACAATATAAATTTAATTTGTATGCATATTTATAGTATAAATGTGTTAATTTTGGAATGAATTTATTTGTTTACTTATTTTGACTGATATCACATCATGTTACTTGCAGCTTCCTATCTGAAAATTGGATCCCCCACACCATATGCATTCATAAATTCAACTAATCTGCAGTCCGGTGTAAACTTTGCCTATGGAGGGACAGGTGTTTTCGATACTTCCATTGATGGACCAAACACTACTGCCCAAATCGACTCATTTCAGAAGCTAATCGAACAAAATAACATCACCAAACAAGATCTTCAATCCTCAATTGCTCTTGTCAATGCTGGTGCTAATGATTATACAAATGCAGTAAAAGATGGGAAAATTTTCGTAAGTGGTTAAGCTATTAATGTTTATATTTAATCTGGCACAACTTTTGCTAGCTGTTCCTGTTGTCTAATTTTGCTATCTGATTCCAGTTAATTAAATTAGAAGTAGAATCGTTGTGAGAGTAATATCAATATGAGAGACAATTATCTTAAACAAGGTGTTGAATGTGTTTTCACATGTGACTAGACTATATAGATATAAAGTAATAGAAATGTGAACATGATTTTGGTTTTTGTTTCACAGGATTTAAAAGGGTTCAGGGAATCCCTTGTGCAGCAAATATCTGTAAATCTGAAACGCATATACAGCTTAGGGGTACCGAAAGTAGCAGTTACGTTATTACAGCCAATTGGGTGTTTGCCTGAGTTAAATGCGATACTTCTTCATCAGAGCTGCGTTGATCTTTTGAACAAGGTCTCCATAGATCACAACAAATTGTTGCTCCAAGCTGTTCAAGATCTCAACAATCAAACGGGCCAATCACCTTTCATGATGCTAGACCTCTACACTTCCTTCCTCTCTGCAATCAACATCGTCGACACACAACGTCAAGGTTAATTAATTACTTCTCAATTCTCATTGCGTTTCAAACACGTACAATCTATATTAATATTGTTAGTAAATCCACGTAACTCAATTAAGGACTATTCACTATAGATAGACAGTTCAACAGTTATGGACTGATCAATATCTAGCTAGTTGCATTATTATAAGAGAATCTGTTTTTTACATTATGCAGCAAACTCAACATTGATGAATCCGTTGGAAGCATGCTGCGAGGGAACGACTTTGGCAGATTCATGTGGAACAGTGGATGACAAAGGACAAAAGAAATATCGTTTATGTGATAACCCAACACTTTCTTTCTTTTGGGACTTAGTTCACCCTTCTCAAAATGGTTGGTCTATAATCTTCCCAATAGTGCAAGCTTCTCTTGGCCACCTTACATAGAAAAACTTGTAATCTATGTACACTTTTTTAAGTGAATAAACTCTTTTTTATTTTAGCATGCTCATGCTCAACTTCCTAAAACCTTATTTTACATCTGTTTGAGTTATTGGGAGCTAGATCATGCACAAAATCCAATTTCTAAAGGCATACGGTTGTTGTTTTTTTAAGGTTTACAGCAATACACAAAATAACGTTTTTTAAATAATTGATATGAAAGTGGTAATGTTTTTCAAATAAATAAGATGTTACTAAATAAAAATTATGTATGCAAATCTTCGAAATATCAATGTAATTTCCTATCAACAATATCTTATAATAATGTGAATTCTTGTAATACAAATACTGGAGTATTAAATATCTAAGTAGAATTATAAATAAATTCTCAAATAAAATTAAGGTGGTCAGGATGGAAAACTATCGCAAGTGATTGCAACCATTCCTCAAGCAGACAAAAGAATAAATCAAAAGGAGTTATTAAAGAAGTAAATAATGAACTGTCAAAAGAAAAAAAAATAAGTAAATGATGTATGGAGACGCATTTACTGCATAAATGCATTACATAATAGGATCGGGTATATATTTATATATACTATGTTTATATATTAAATATAAAAAATAGACTACTACTGATTGCCTCCATATCTCTAATTATAAGATTTTTTTTTTAAATAACTTTATTTTAAAAATTAATTAATTTAGTTAAAAATATTAACTTTATCAATATTTGAATTCATTTTTCAAAATTATTTTCAATATCTCTTAAATTAATATTATCTCTTTTCATTTAATTCTTTTTTATCTAATTAATTAATATTTGAAACAGAAATATTTATGTGTTTAGAGTTTAAAATTTAGAATTTTTACTTAATTAATTTCAAAGGCTTATTATCTTTTATCTAAAAGAACTGTTAATTAAATAAAGATAACTTAAAGAAGATATAATTAATGTAACTAATAATTATAAGAGAATTTTACAAAAAGAGACAAATAAAAAAGTGAAAAAAAATCTTATATATAAAAAAATGTAGTATATATTAAAGGTATAATTTTTTTTTACATAATCATCTAATTATAAATTACAATGATATAGTAAGGTTGTTGACTTTTAAAATAATATTTTAAAAATCACATCAGTCACATAATTTATAATTAGTTAACAATGTAAAGTCTACATGGATTGTGTATCACTATTAACTCTTTACAAAAATATAGATTAAATTAAATACATTATATCATAATTTTTAGACTTAGTAACATATTTTGCAATCTATGTTTTCGAGATTTTGTAAATTTTATCAACCAACTATTTTATTTACAAATTATGTCACTAAATATTTAAAAAATTTGTATATATGTTAAGTCTCAATTATACTCTTTTTTGGACAAGACTTAATGAACAATTTCACTCATTCTTTGAACCATTGCAATATAATTGTTCTCTTTTTGATTCATTTTGTGTGCAGATATAGCTAACCCATAATTTAGCTAACAATACCCTAATACACCTCATTTTTGTGCAGGTATTGAGCTAGAGAATTGATGATTGAAGACTCATAGGATTGGAAACCTAAGGAGCTAAGGAGCAGAGAAGAGTGACTGCGCCGGGTGCAAGATGACCCGCGCCGGGCTTGAGCAGAACAGAGTGCCTTATCTTTGCAAGTCATATATGCGCCGGGCGCAAGACTACCTGCGCCGGGCGTGATCGAGGCAGAGAGTAACTCAAACTCTCTAGAAGACATTGTGCCGGGCGTAAAAGGAAATTACGCTGGGCGTGTCCTGAGGCAGATAGTGCTCAACTTTTCTAGAAGGCCCTGCGCCGGGCGCAAAGACTTATGCGTCGGGCGCGTAACCCTAATCTGAAACCCCAAGCTCGTATTTGAAGACATTTTCGAGGGCTTCTTCCCCATTCACACATTGGGCACGTTTTAGGAGCTGTGGAAGGGATTCCCGGAGCTTGGAGTCGTTCGTGTGTGGGTCTTTCCTTCGGTTCTTCATTCTCTCTTTATCTTTATTTTGTGTTTACCCTCATTGTTTTGAGTTGTTCTACCCATTGTTTTGTGGGGTTAGATGTAACCAACGAATTCTATTGTAATCCTTACGTTTTAATGATATATATATATATGTTGTTTCTTTCATTGTTGTGTATGTTTCTATTCTTAATGTTTGCTTTGGATTGAATCTCCTTTGCATGATATAGGTTCCATTGGGTGTTAGAAAATAACCATTGAAACTAGCTCTAAAACAAATGCCTAGTGGGAAATGTATCTAGGAATGGAGCTTGGCCTATTAGTAGTCTTAAACCCTAGCCCATAATGCGGGTGTAGATATTGGGTACTCAAGGAATTGATATTCAATATCCGCACCTAGGCTCTTGCTCTAAGGGATTAGGTTTGAGTAAACTTATGGGTTGACTAAGCAATGTATGTAACAAGAGATTAAAGATTCATTAGTTGACGTTTGGTGAAATCTGACCCCACAATCTCACAAAAATCATAATACCATTCTACCCTTTTCCACTCACAACCAAATATTTTTATAGTTAACATTCCAGTAGTTATACTCTTCAATTAATCTTCACATGACAAACTACAAATTGAAATTATTCTTTAGTTACGAATAGTCAATAAATGCTTATTTTACCTACTAATCCTTGTGGATACGATAATTTTACTACTTGAACGGCCGGTATACTTGCCGTGTTTGAGATCGTTGATAAAATTAAACTGATTTACAATTATAACAAAAGTATTTCAATGGAAATCTCAACAATATATCATTATCATATATTAGTTAATTATCTAATGTCATTAATTGGTCATGATTGATTACATGGTTGTGCACATATGACTGATGAAGTGGCAAAAAACTATTAATTTTGAGCATTTAACCACCTAATTTTTAAATTTAATTTTTACAAAAAGTTTAAATACATTTTTATTCATCAAATTTTTTTTATTTTTTCAAATTTAAAATCAATATTTTCATTCTATAATTTTAAAAAATCTTATTTTAATCCTATATCATAAATAACATATTTGATAGTGATAGATTGAGACAATTATGCAACATCAATTGAGTTTAATGTAATGTGTTTACTAACAAAGATATTTGTGGGTGAATTTTGTGTGACATTTCAAAGATTCACCAACAAAATTTAACCATAAGAACTAAAATAATATTTTTTTTTCAAATTACAGGAATTATTAAAAATGTTAGTTTTAAATTTGAAGAACCAAATACAAGTTTATCCTAAATATGAAAGACTAAAAATATATTTATTTTTTTTTTTTTGCAAATTTTGTTACTTAACTTTCAAAATTTTACACATTTTACTTCCTAATTAATTAACAAATTATTGTCATAATATATAAAAATATTTATTTATATAATTATGTCAATATAAGGAGAGGGATAAAATTACACATATATAACTTCACTCAACTATTACAATACCAACAACTTTAAACTAAAGTTATATATTTGACCATTGAGTTACATATTTTTGTATCGCTTTCTAAATCATGAAAAAAAGAGTGAGTTTTGATTTTTTTTTTTTGGTTTTTGATCCTTATAAAATTTATAAATATTATTTTTAATTTTTGTGAAATTAGTATACTCTAAAATCTAAACTCACTATTTTTAGTCTTTAATGATCATTTTAAGGTAAATAATAACATCTATTTTAAAAATTTATAAAAAAAAAAAGTTGTGTTGTTAAAGACCAACATAACATTACTAACAATTGTGGGTAACATTTAAGATGATTACTTAACCTTTTAATAAATAAAAAATAGTTAAAAATAATGGCATAAAGAACATAGACTTAAAACAACAATATTAATTTTATAGAGATGAAATTTTTTTTTACAGAGACCTAAATCAAAACTGGCTAATTTTGTAGAGACTAAAAATAATAAAGCATATTTAAACATTTTATTATTTATGTCCAATTTTATTAAAATTAATCAATTAAAAAAAATTAAAATAACCATATTTTATAATATAAATTATGTCAATTTTGATATAAATAAATATATATATGAAAATAATTTTAATTAGTATAAAATTTTGTATATATAATACATAGATAAAAAACTTTAAATAAACTTTAAAAAAATGTTATCCAATAAATGAACTAAAAGTTTAATTTAATTTAAATATTATTAAATAGTAATTATTATATAATCTACTTAATATAAAATTATGATTAATAAATATATATTTTGGAGTTAAGTAAAAAATTAATAGATTTTATAAGATTAAATTAAAACTAAAATCATACACTATAAAAATTAGTCATTAATTATAAACTTAAAAAAAATCTATAAAGAAGATACACGATGAATAATTATAAACTTAAAAAACTAAAATATACACAATAAATAATTATTTGTTATCTTCATTTTTAGTAGATTATTATATTTTTATTTATTAAAAAAAACCACTTATATTTTTTAAGTAATCACTCACAATTAATCATTAATTTTTTATAATTTTCAAAACTTTAGAGATATGAAGTGTGTATGTTTCCAACTATAATATTATAAGAGATTACTAGTATAGTTTATTTATTTATTTAGGTGTGGAAGACGTAATTGAATACGAGGGCATTGCTTTGTTTTGACGTAAGAGATGGTGCGGTCAATTCAACCAAAGCAAACCAAACCTTACCGAACCCAAACCATAGCACCCAACGTTGTTGTCTTTGAACCTTATTCAACCTTTGCTTTTGCCTATAAAGACAACTATCTCCCTCGAAACCTATTCTCCATCGTACCATTTTTTCTTCCATTCATCTCATTCTTTCTCATCCATCTCGTTACCATGTCTCAGGTCAACCTCTACCCCCCACACCCACCTTTTCTCTCTTTTCCTCTTCTCTTCTCTCCCTCAATTTTGCTCTTGCCATTATTCCCCTCTCCCCTTCCCCTGATTCCATCTTCTGCACGTTTTACCTCAACTATATATATGGCTAGGAATTTCTGACTTCAGATATATGAAATTATTTATTGCTATCCATGTTTGATTGTTAACCCTTGAAACTAGAACAAGGACTCTGCAGAAAATCAATTTTTCTTTGCATGCATTTGATTCTCATCAGCCATCACTTTCTCTGTTATTCCTGATTATATGCTCTATCCATTGAGAGATGTGGTTGCTTCTTATGCTCACGAGTTCTTTAATTAAAATATTGTCTAACGCTAAATATGATTGGTCCTTTCCTTTCTTATTTGCTAAGAAATTTTGATTAATGGTGTGATGCTCTTGTTTTCTGTCAATTTTGTTATTACAGTTTCTGTGAGCCTTTTACTTTTAAGGGATCTGTCTCGAGGATCTAAAAGACTTGCTGCGATGCGCTTGTGTTGTGTCCTAACTTTTGCTTTGCTTTTCTTTTAAAGCTTGTAGGATTAGTTTTCACTTTTCAATTCGTGTATGCAATCTTTGAACATGATTTTGTAGACTGTTTCCTTTTGTTTTGTATTAGTAGGATTAGTAAACATGACTGCACTAGAGTTTCTCCTCTAGCAGGAAT